GTTGCAGTTGAGCCTCGATTGCTGTTGGTACATCAGTGAGAGGAACTGACTCTCAACCTTATTGGTTGCGAGAACTCGTGTGACTACAGTGGAGGAGCTGTTAGAGAAGGGCTGACTCTTTGGAGTAGGACTTGCTTTAGCATGGCTCTGGTGCCTGCCTAGTCTGCCCTCTGGGTTTGTCATCCTCAGATGCAGCCCTGGGTGATGCTCCAGCTTGGTCCGAAGGCTGTGCCCTTCCCAGGGCTACCTGGCCTGAACCACCAAGCAGTTGCAGATGACTACTACTCTTGCTGGGCTTGAAAGTGCCTTGAGAGGCTAAGTTGTGAACTGAGGCCAACTGCTGCTAGTGCTGGGCTTGGGGCTGCTCAGCAAGAGGTACTGGGCATGCAGAGGCTAGATGCTGCTTGTTTGGGTTTTGTGAACCTTCGAGAAATTTTAGAAAAGTCTGAAGCATGAGCCAAGACAGGCTGCTTGTATGAAAAAGCTACTGGAAGCGGCTTGGTGGTCCCTCAAGTTGAGTGAGGTGGGGTCTCAGGGAATCACCAGGGCAGGGCAACCAGTGTTAGCTAGGTTGATGGAAACTCAAATATGGTGGCTGCCTTCGTTTGCACTCTGGGTAGGGGGAGTGTCCAACAAAGGAATAGTGGCCTGTGCCAGTACTTCTGTCTGGAAGAACGCTGCCCCTCCAGCCCTTGCACCAAAGCCAGATAATTCAGCTCCTTCCCATTTGTCTTTGGCACACTTCAAGCTGCTGCCCCAGTTCTGGAGCCCAGAGCGACGAATTTGTCAGTGAGTAAGCCTGTGTGCAGACCCTCCAACAGGAATACCTGGAGCTCCCACAGCTCTCTGTCTCAGCTACAGTCTCTGCTGGTTTTCACAGCCAAAAGTTGTGGGAATCTCTCTTCTCAGCATTGGAACCTTCAGTTGGGGTGTCTGGTGTGGGGCTGGGACCCCTCACTCCTCATGGGGGACCTCTGCAGCTGAGATATCCCACCCAGTTTTCAACTGCCACATGTGGGGTGGGACCAGTTCATTCTGTGTCTCCACACCTCCTGCTAGTCTTGAAATGGTTTCTTCGGCATGTCCTTAGTTGTAGGACTTCTGTCATCTAGACTTGAGGCAATTTTCAGTGATGGTTGTTCTGTAGTTTAGTTGTAATTTTGATGTGGTCATGAGAGGAGGCAAACACAGTGTTTACGTACACCATCTTGACCAGAAATCCAGTAATAACTATTAAAATCCAGTTTTTGTAAACAGAAAAAGTTAATAAAGCATCCAAATTTGAGAAATTGAGGCAGCAGAAATAGAAGGCTTTGTCTCATTATTAAAAAATAAGAATAAGAAAACAAAATGATATAAAAATAAGAATGCAAATAACAAAGTAGTCATATATAGAAAAGAAGGGAACATGTTAGTTTCATCTTTGAAGTTGCTACTCAATAAATATTTGTGAATGGAATTAAATGCGATAGCTTAATATTTTCACTTACTGATTCTTTACATGTAAAAGATGACAAGACCTATTAAAGCACTGGATTTGAGAGCCAAGACTTTGGAACTAGCATCAGTATTTCCAGGAACAAGCTCATTATTGGAGGCAAGGAGAAGCTCAAGAACACCGAGTTAGCACCCTTGTTCAAACTTTCCATGAGTTTTCTGTGTAAAAATTCAGGTTATGTGAAAATGCCTTTTAGGAGAGAGTAAAATTATAGAAACCATGAGAACACAATTTCATGAGGGAAAGAAGGTCTGATCAGCAGTGTTAGCTGAAGCAGAGGGAAAAGGGGTTGCTGTCCATCCAGGGGTCTTACACTTAGGTGAGAGGAGTGGGAAAATGGGCGAGGGAATCAGAGGCAGTGAGTATAGACTTCCCCTTGAAGAAGCTTGACTCAAGAAAACAAAGGCAAAAGGAGTAATAACTAGTGGTGATTTACAGTGAAGTCCTGTTTGTTTTATTTTGAGATCCGAATTGTGCCTGCATTTTTATTCTGAGCAAATAGAGCTAGTGCAGACATTGATTTTAAAAATACCAGCAAGAAAAGGGGGAAAAGATGTAGAAAAGCCCTGGGGATGGCAGGAGGGCATGGGATGGGGAGCTTATGGGGATGGACTAACCTTGGATCGGAGGAGACCCACACTTTCTTCAAAATAGAAGGCCAGGAAGAAAGGGTGGGTACAAATGGGATGAATATTTAGGTGAAGAAAGGCAAAAAACTAGGGGAGCTCATGCCTGATGACCTCTATTATTTCTGAGAATACAAAGCAAAGTCATTTATAGAGCAAAGGAAACATGGCTTTGGGATTAGTTTTCTCTCCCAGGAGAGAAATGAGAATAGACTTGACAGTCAGTGTGGTAGACCCACTTGAGGTTGGGCATCCCACATTGTACAGGACAGTGTATTGTGGATTGTTCTCAATTCGGGTAGAGGAGTACAGAATTCTAGCAAATTATCGCATTGATCTATTGCATAGCAGATGGGGCTCCTGAGAACCTTGGCTCTTTGTCCTCCATCTATGGGAAGAGGGAGAAGAAGAGGAGAGCTGGATGGATGAGAAGTTTTCAGATTGAAAACAAATTCAGAGAATGTTCTCCGGGTTGGTTTGCTGAGGTGGAATGGGGCTATAAGCCATGGGCTGAGGGATAAAGAGACAGGACGGGGAGTGGATGGGTCACCCACATGGATGTTGAAGTCCTCCAACGTGATGGCAGGGGTGATGGCTGCGAGGGAGTGACCAGTGGGTCAGTAAATGACAAGAAGAGCATGATAGTATCAGTGGAGGACCATCTACTTGGAGGACAGTCTTGTGCTTGTGGGTCAGAGAACCCATCCAAAGGTAACACAGCAGGACACTGACTGCAGCTTTTAGTTCTCTGTGAGGGAGACTGCACAGTGTCCACATGAAAGGCCTGGGAGAGCTATGTCCTTGGCAGACCTTTGGCGGGGGTTTCACACAGACCAGAGCTTGTCAAAGATGCAGAGTCATCCTGTTCCAGAGGGCACAGTGGAAAATGAGGAGAGGTTAGAGTGAGGAATGGAAAGATGCAGGGCTGAGATTCTAGGAGAGGAAACTGTCCAGAAGGTTTTCATTTTGGATGGTGGTAAAAGATGGCAAAGGTGAGAGGTAAGAAGTTAATTGGTCTAACTCTTGGTACCAGGTTGTGGTGTTACGTGGATTTAGGGGCCAGAGTGTGCAGAGTATCATCTACATTAGCTTTTCGATGGTTGTAACCTCTGCAGACAAAAATTTGGCAAAGGAAGAAAGCAAAAGAGATGGAATAATGGCTCAGGTTTGTGGCTAAATATAAGGCTTTGCTCATAAAGTAGAGAATCTTAATATAGGTAGAGGGAGCCAGTGATAGTTATTAAGTACTACGTTAGATAAAACACTGTTTTGATGCTGTATGGCATTCTGAGTAAGAATAATGTGGATGAAACTAATTGAATTAGGATGCACCATGCCCTTTTCTAAGGTCTTTATTTGATTTAGTCTTATCTTCAACTCTATCACTTTTATTCTCCCCACTGTGTTGATGAGGCATAGAGGATAAGTAAACTTACTCAAGGCTAAAAAGTGAGTCAGAATCCGAACCTAGGCACCCAGCGCAAATGACCTTGCTCTTGAACCGCCGCTTTATGTGTCCTTACAGCACTCAGATATGGCCTCTTCATAAAGTTATTCAGTGGATCGTTTTGTAAACTATATAAATGTCTAACCAATGTACTGTATACTTGAAACTAATAAAAAAAATAAAAAAAATATAATACATAAAAAATGTTTTAATCTGACAGGAGATGCATGAAGTGAAAACACTCTCACTCTAGGCATAGGCATCCAAATGCTACATCAAGGTTAAACTGTAAAGCAAAGAGATCTGGCAAAGCCCTCTGCCTCAAGGTCCAGGCTTTTGCACTCATGAAGACATTTGCCTTAGTTTTTTTTTTTTTTTTTTAATTCAGAGAAGAATTTATTTTCTGTTTTTAGAGCCTATCTCAGGAATTGCAAACACTTGGAAAATAGTTAAAGTCTTCATTATTTTTGAACTGATTGGCCTATCTTAGATTATGTAAGTTTCTTGTCTGTTTCCTTTCCCTTTTTATGCCCTTTCACCTCGCATGTTTCACAATTGCTTCATGGGGAGAGAGACAGAAAATGTGAACATGTTGTCATCTATTCTAGCTCCTTACAGGTCATTTGCTAAAAATTTGTGTAGAAGAGAAAAAGTGAACAATAACAGTGATTATTTATCTGAGGTTATAATTATCTCTGCTATTACCGTCCTCCACTATCACGGATCATTAAAACTTGGTTCAAAATTGGAAATCGAATTGCACTTATAATTTTTAAAGGTACAGTCAAGAATACTTAATGTAAGATTTTCTTTTTAAGTCTCAAATTTTTTGGAGCATTTTATGCACAAAAAATATGTAATGACATATAATATTTTAAAATAGAAAGCTGTGAACAGCATATTCTTATAATTTGAGAATAAAAAGGTGATTATAGAATTATGTACAGTGGTAATCAAGAAATGTTCTAATTTGTTGAGTTTAATATATGAAATCACACACTCACTTTTCTGAGTTAATAAAATTTTTTCAACATTGATAAAATCTTTATAATGATGATCTAGAAATGCCAGAGGCAAAAATGCAAGCATTTGGGCATGTGATGAGTAACTTTGATTCAGAAATATCCTTGGAGCTGTTTTATTGCAGTATTATATCATCTAATGTGTAGTACAGTGGCTGATGGTTTATACACACATTTATGAATTTAAAATGGATTCTTGGAAACATCCAAGAACATATCCAGTATTTGATGGTGCTGGCTTCTGTTACAACTTTAATTACCTTTGGTAGATATTTACCTGGTTATTAATGAAAGGGTCATTTAATTATTCCCCAAGAAGGCCATTCAGGTGGACTTGAGCCTCACTTCTATTAGTTATTTTGAGTAAAAGCTAAGTATTTAAAATTTTTATGCTTTATATATTTCAGATAGGAAAAGAACATGTAGGCCTGAAGGCTGTGACGGAAATCCTCCAGGATATTCAGTACAAGGTAGGTCATTATTTAAAAGAAAGTAAAAATGTTGGTTGTGTAAGAGGTCTCCAGGACTACCCTCAGGCTCTATGATTTACTAACAGGACTTGCAGAAAAGCTGTTATTCTCATGGTTGTGGTTTATTACAGCAGAAACATACACATGAAAAACCAGCACAGTGAAAAGGCCCAGGGGGCAAAGTCTTGGAGAAACCAGGCACAGCTTCCAGGTGTCCTCTCCCAGTGGAGTCAAATGAGGACGCCCCTAATTCTCTCAGCAATGATGTGTCACAACACGTGCAAAGTGTTTCCAACCAGGAAGCTTACCTGAGCCTTGGTGTCCAGGAGTTTTATTAGGAGTCAGTCACGTAAGCATGCAGTGCCTGTGCGACTGACCTCAGCTCCTCTGACCCCTGCCCTCGCACCTCCACCCTTAGCAAAACCAGCATTCACTATAAACCACATTCTCGGGATTAACTTACCTGGTCAAAGGGGTACAGCATGGCCCAAGGCCCAGCACACAAAACACACTATGAGGCAGAATAGCCCAAGGGCTCAGAGGTCATCACCCAGGAGCCAGTCAAAGATCAGTCTTGAAGACAGGCCTTTTTTTGAAATGTGAGGATTTAAGCAACCCATGCCTGCTGAGTTAACCATTTCCTCCCATTGATTACAGGAAAGTTGTGTAAATGAAACAAATAAAAATTGTGGCAACCATACTTCAAAGTATTTATGTGAAAAAAAGAGACAGGCACACATAAGCCATAAGATAATCTATCCAGGGAGACTGATGTAGACTGATTTGCCCCTGTTAGGTGTCAGCCCGGTGTTGCTGGGAAGCCAAGTTCTGTTATGAACAGTACCTTTTATGCTAACATTGAGTCAATACGATCTGAGTGGCCTTGGGGAGTGGGAGGAGAGTATGGCTAATGGAGAACCCCCACACAGATCCAAGGATCCAAAGCCAATCCTAAAATCAATTGGGAATGAAGTCTGATTACTTTCACGCTAGCACAAGCCCAGGGCATCCAGAACCAGGCAAGAAACTCTACCAAAGGCCTCCTGAGCAGGCTCAGAGTGAATCCAGCTACCAAGGGAAAGCACAGAACTAGTCAAAGAAGAAGTTGGTAAAAAGAGTGTAAGGACACATTTTGACTGACATTTGTCCAATAGAAATGGGCCAAGAAATTTTCCTTTATTTCTTCAGCTAAGATGACATCAGTCATTATGGAGTGCAGGAGGATGGTGGGAGGCAAGTCAGCTGGATTCTTTTATGTGTCAGATTGTCTCTAGAAGTAAGGAAGAGATGTAGAGGTTATGCATTGCCTTTCCTTGTTGTGTCTGCATTCATAGAGTAATCTTAGAAGATATACCCAAGTGCCATGACAGGTCTGTCTGTTTCAAAGGCCTGTGCAATTTATATGGCACTATTTAAAATAGTGATCCTAAATATGAATTATTGAATAAAGACACAAATATTTTCCTTGAAAATTAAATCTAGCTTTGATAAAAGTTGGTAGAAATATTTTCATTTGAGTGTCAGATCTCTCTCTCTGGAGGAGGAGAATATCTAGAATAGGTCCTAGAGCTGAGTGGCCAAATCCAAAAGGGACCAAATGAGACTTGGGTGGCAGGTTATAATGCCAAGAACGTTAGGAGCTGAGGTCAGAGTACCTGGAGGAAAGTCGCTTCAAAAGAATTTCCTGAGCCAAGGTTCGGGCATTTTACACCAAGGCCCAAGTCTCTGGTATGGATATGCTAGGAGCAGGAAAAGTAGCTGACATAGGACAGACACACTAGGTAGACAGTTGTGTTTCACACAAGGAATTATAGGGAAAATCGAACTGTGGTAGCAAAGAAAATAGCCACAGACTCAGAGCAGGAGAATCTCGTTGGAACCAGCCACTGTTGCTCCAAGGAGCAGAAAGAATGGGACACTCACAAATCTGTGGGGTCTGATGATGCCATTCAGAAAAAACATCAACTTGGATTTTTACCGCTAATGAATTTTTATTCTAAAATTAAGACATTTTATGTTAACATGGGGTAATTTTTTTTCTTTTTTAGGGGAAGTCCAAAACAATACCCTGCTTTAATCCTAACACATTGTTACCAGGTAAGTGTGCATCCAACTGCACAAGATGAATTTTAATTGTGGATATAAGTGCATTGTTTTCCTCAAAATATATATAACTATCTATGATTAGTTAATAAAGTTTCTTTACAACATATGTTCTCTAGTAGAGATGCCTTTTGTGCTCCAAACGTGGGAGTAAACCTTTTGAAATAATCAATATTTTGCCACTAGTTCCATTAATCCATGAAGCGTTTCCTTTGGATTGTCATTTGTAAAAATTGCTACCTCTACGTAAGCACCAGCATAATAACATAACCTTGGTATGCTTCTAAAATTAATCGGCAAGGTATTTGTTAATCTCTAAAGTGAAATAAACTTTACATCTAATTCTGTAAGATAACCTCTTTGCAATGATACTTAGCTATTATTCTAATGTAGGTCTGCCTGAATAGGTAAGACTTGCGTATAAAATACTCAAAATATAATTTGTAGTTAAAGGTTGTTTTGTACAAAATTTTGATCCTCACATATCTCTGCCTCAATTATGTGAAATTTCTTAGTGTTTCAAGCAAAACCAAGTAGGTAGATGCTTTATATCTTCTACTTTCTACATTGAATTGCTCTGCAACAAACCAGTTTTTGCCATATGTTGAACATTTACCCATCATGTTTAATCAGAAGTTCCTCTAATTCAGAGCTAAAAGATTTCATAAGAATGATTTCTTGTCACGGAGCTGGGAGAAAAAGGTGAAAGGATGAAGAAGTACAAATTAATAGTTACAAAATAGTCTCGGGAATGTAGAGTACAGCATAGGGAATAGAGTCAGTAAGATTGTAATGGCTCTGCGTGGAGCCAGATAGGCGATAGAGTAATTGGGGGGTTCACTTCATAAACTGTATAAATGTCTAACCAATGTACTGTATACCTGAAACTAATAAAAAAAGATTTCTTTTATCCCATCGTGTATAAATGTCTAACCAATGTACTGTATACCTGACACTAATAAAAAAAGATTTCTTTTATCCCATCATAATATGCTTTTAATATTTTGCTGTTGAAGAAACAATCCAGAGGTAGCTGTAACAGTTAATGGTTAAAAACATTGACTTTGAAGCCAGGCTGCTTTGGTTTGAATCCTTCCTCTGCCAGTTGTTAGCCCAATGACCTTGGGCAAATCATTTAGCCTTCTGTGCTTTAGTGTCCCTGTCTGAAAAATAGGACTAATAATAGGACCGATCTCATTAGTTCGTTGTAATGGTTAAATGAGTTAATGTAAAATGCTTAGAATAGCACCTCACCTATAGTAAGCTTTCAATAAATATTAGGTAAAATCGGTCAGGTAAATCCTCCAATAAACTAAAAAAAATCCATGGACACACTTCTAAAGTGACTAAACTTGATATATATCTCTCAAGTTTATATATCTCCATTTTAAATAGCCATGTTTGGATATGCATTGTAATCTATTGATAGAAATCACTATAAATAATAGAGGATTCATGATATTGTCCATTGGTTATTTTCTCTATGATGATTAGTTTAAGAATACATATGTGAGGCTCTAGTTTAAAAATGACATCAGTCTGAGAAGTGCTGAGAAGTGGACAGTTTATAATTTTGGAAATTATTGTTGGAGTCTTCATAATTATTATTAACTAACTTGTCTTTTTGTGACATGTCCACATGGTTGCCCAGATCCTCTGCTGCGTGATTATTGGGTATATGAAGGCTCTCTTACTATTCCACCCTGCAGCGAAGGTGTTACCTGGATATTATTCCGATACCCTTTAACTATATCTCAGCTACAGGTGAGTATGGTACTTTAAATATTTTAGAACGAAGTTCTGAGTTAAAAGTTAAATTTCGTTTCTGTAAAAGGGAAATGTCTGTTTTATGTTTTAGCTCTCTTTAGATAAGTCACATCTTTGCAGATGAAAATTAAATGTCTTGAACAGGTGAAAGCAATGGAAAGGTCAAGAATGAAGAAAACCCAGCTATCATTTATGCTCTGTGTTTTAACGGTCAGTTTTTATAGGGTAAATAGCAGTCGCTGAAATAATCAAACTTTCCATTAGTCTAGTTATTCCTTTATGTGATTTTCCCAAGCATGGAGAGGAAAAAGGTCTTGGAAGTAAAGTGAGAATGCTGGTTATTTCTGTAAGTCACACATGGGCTTTGTGATAGTTCTTCTTTGGCTTGCACAGGAAAATTCTGTATGAAGAAGGGTGATGGAGTTAGAATACCATGGAAAGTTCTGGATTGTTCTGTAGCCCCACTTTTTATCACCTACCTCCCACCTTGAGCTCTGCATAGGTGCTGTAAATGCTAATGCACAGTGTGCGGAGGCACCGAGGTGAATTGTCACAGGGATGTTACCCGGTGGAAAACATGACGCAATGTAACTGTAATGTATTTAAACAATGATTCTGATATTATTACTTTACGTGTCTCTTCTCCGTAAGGTATCTAAGGGATGTGTTCCGGAAGGCTTTTATTTTTCTTCATGATCAACCTCAAAAAGCTTGATCAATACTGTAAATACACCAAGTTTTCTTTAGTTCATTTTTACAAACTTTCATTCTATCCACTATCATTTTATAAGAAGTTCAAGTTTACTAACTACTCAGTGAAGCCTTCTTTTGTTTGTCTTAAATCTTTAAAATTCTTTTTTCAACCTTTAACAATTTTCTCTAACTTTTCTTTTTCTAAAGATTAATTTTAAAAGTCCTCATCCAGCTTCTCCATCTTTCCATTATTTTATAAACTTTGATTATAGCATGTCTGGGCCTTCATATTTCTAATACGACAAATCCTAATTCCTTTATTTATTTGTTTATCTATTCTTACAAGAAACTATTTCCGAGAGCCAACCAGTCACAGAGGATACAGAGATTAAAACACAGTCTTCACCCTCCAAAAATTCATCAGAGAGTTGGAGAGGTAGATGATTATGCAGACAATTACAGTATTTATAATAAATAAGGCGTGCTGGAAGCAGATGGGAAAGAAACTCAGCCCAGATTGGGAGGTCTAGGGAGTCATCCCTGAAAGACGCTAGCAGTCAGTCTGGTGAAGGAGAGGGAGGAAATTAGAAATTTGAGTCTAAAAATAGAGTTTCAGACTAATGATATAGAGATTTGGGATTTAACAGCAAAGATGGTAGCTGCTGTCACAGATAAACCTCAGAAATTTAGTGATTTGTCACAGTAAAAAGTTTTTTCTTATATAACATCCTACAAATGTGTTTTGGATTCACAATGAAGGCTTTTCTCAATGCGGTTATTCAGGGGACCATAGTGGAAGTTGTTCTGCCGTCTTTAATGTTTCACTTCCAAGGTGGCCCTAGGTGTGGGCCTGTAGCCACCAGGAAGGGGAAGAGCTTTGAGGATCTTAAGGGGAATTGTTTTCAGGGCCAGTCCTAGAAATTGTGAACATCCTTTATGTTTGTTTTCTGTTGGCTAGAACTCAGTCGTGGCCACCCCTGACTGCATGGGAGGCTGGTAAGTGCATTTTAGCTTCATGTCCAAGAAGAAATGGATTCGATGATCAGATTAGTTCAAATTGAGGAGACGATAAGAATTGCCCAGGGTCTTGAGGACAGCCATGAGGCATGATGGCCTGGGATCCAGGACTGGAGAGTATTTCCAGATATGGAGGAGGGAGGTTAATAGTAACACATTCTGCAGAGAATAGAAATAGCATCAGAGCTGCTTACCCAAGTGGCACATAACTAAACCTGTAAAAATGTGCCCAGATGCCACTTCTTGGTTCGTACCCTTCACTCTGGTTTTCCTTGGCTGTGTGTGAATGCTGCTCAGTCCTGGTATCAGCACTTCTCTGTTGCTGATCTTTGGCTCCCCTTCCCCATCACCATCCCCCGCCATCCTCTCCATCATGCTGCTTCTGGTTGCTCAAGGCAAACTTTCTCACCCATCCAACCAGTTTCTCTTGAGACTCTCACCAAGGAGAAAGCCTTCACTTCCTTTCGGAGCTGCCTCATCATTTGCAAGTAAGGTGCACGAACTAGGACTGTAATTGCCAATTAGGTCATTGTTAACTGAAGTGAGAAGTTTTCACAGAATGTTGAGCTGCAAATAGAAGGAGACCAAGGATAAGTACAGACCATATACTATCTTTCAAGAAGTTTTCTGAGAAACGCAAGGAGACAACTTGGGAGACAATAGAAGCTCTGGAGGCATGATGGAAGGAGCCAAAGAATGGGACAGTCGATCTCATGATGTAGTTAGTGACTGCAGTTATTCTCAGTTTTGAGATGAGGAGACTGAGGCTTACAGAGATTAAGAAACGTTTGCCTGGGTCACACAGGTAGTGAGGGTAGATTTGGGATCTAGCTCGGTTCTGTGTGATGTCAATGCTGGGTGTGTGACAGTTTTCCTCTTTCCGTTTTTGCCCTTTTTAACATTTATAATTCTTTCGAGACCCTCTTTCTATAAGAGACTTTGTCGGGAAAATCTCAATAGTATTAGAGAAGATTTCTACCTTGTCATCCATACGTTTTGTGTCCCCAGTTGGAGGACTTTGGTTTCTTTCAGTTAGTTAGTTAGAAACACAAAACAAGACCTTTAGAGGCTGAGGCCCAACGTACAGGTTTAGGATTCATCGGCATAAAAGAAAGAGCTGAATGATACAAACAAAGGGGATGCCCGAGAAAAGAGCAAAGAAGAGTAGAGCAGAAAAAAGAGGAAGACGCTCTCCTGGGACATTGTCCTGAGGGTAACCTTTCTTCTAAGATGGTAGGGCCCCACGGGACTTAGTACTCGCCATTTGCCATTTAGTTATTCCAGGTCACTTCTCTCGCTGATATCATATTTCCAAAGCAGGGAAGAAGTTCTGGGGTTAACAGGGGTGCGTGTGAAGGCTTTGCTTGCTCATGGCTGCCCCGTCCGGGTCAGATGGTTAGAGATTGCAACCTGAGCTGCTAGAGTAGGGGTAATGCGGTGGCTGCTGTTCTGTGAATGACCTATGTAAAAGGCCAAACCTCCCTCTGCATTTACTTTTCCTACAATTGATTCTAGGACAATAATACATATTTCCTTATTGCCGCTTCAGGTAGCACAACATCTTAACGTGGGTAAATTTCAAAGCACTAAGGCTTAATACACAGTATGTTTTGTGACCCTGGGATGCACTCACCAGCCTTTGCATGTCATTGGCCCTATTAATACAATTTATTGATGTAATAAGGTAATATATGTCATAGTTCTATCTTCCTTTCCTTTATCCTTGTCATAGCCTGATGTTAGCTTATGAAATTGCTCTTTTGAAACTGATATTGATAATTTATTCATTAATTCACATGCACCGATTCATTTGGTAATTGAAATTTAATATTTGCCAGGTACCACAGTAGGCACTGAAAGTGGAGGACCAATAAAACATGGCCCTGTCCTCTAGGAATTCATCATCTGGGGGAAAGACAAATACGTTTACTCTTAAAAAACAATAGTTTCATGTACTCTACACCGTGCCACGAGATGGCACGAACATGGCCTTCTGCTGTCACACAGGAAAGGCACCTGGATGAGATGTAGCCATCTGGTAGACCTTTCTCAAACCAGGCGAAGCGGCGTGGCGTGGGTGTTAGCAGGCATTGCCAGGTGGGGGAGAAGTGTCTGCAGAGGCACAGAGGCAAGAGAAAGCGCGCTGTAGTGTAAAGGGCCAGTGATGTGAGACGAGCTTGAAGGAAAGAGCATGGGTCCACCCTTCACGGAAAGGCCTCGATCTGTGCGGTGGACGGCGGACTTTCATCTGAAGGAAGCGAGAAATCACTGAAGTGTTCTGAGAAAGAGACATGACTGAAACAGCGTGAAGATGTGTATCTGACGTAAAACTGTGGCAGGGGGGTGAAAGGCAGGGAATGACTTTAGAAACAGTAAAGAAGTGGCATCAGTAGAACTTGGTGACTGATGACAAAGAAGGAATTTCAGGGAGGAAGGACCCGCGTGTTTAGTCCCTGGATCTTGGCTTGGGTGACTGGTGAGTTTGAGATGTTGCTGTGCACTGTAATAGGGAATAAAAAAGGAAGAGCAGGTTTATGGAGAATGTGATGAGTTTATGGTTGTGGACACTGCGAGTTTGAGATACCTTTGAGACATCCAAGAAAGGGGTATAATATACAGGTGGTGGTTGAAGCTGTGAGTGTGGAAGAGGAGAGAAAAGGGGTGATGGAGAGTGGAAGCTGATAAGGGGTGTGCGTTGGAAGAGTTGCCCCAGGGGAATGGTTGGAGAATTGGGAAAAGTCAGGAAGTTGACACGATGTCTGGAAGTCAGGGAAGGCGAGGTGTGAACTTCAAAAAGTGGGGAGTAGAGAGATGGAGAATATCAAATTCTGAACACACATTAAGTTAAGAACTGAAAAGCTTTTTTTTTTTTTGCAACTTTATTGAAATAGACAATTAGCTGCTCATATTTACGTTGCACAATTCAATGAGTTTTTTCAATTATAATTGGCATACAGTAATATATTACTTTCAGTTGATAGCATAGTGATTAGAGATCTATATAACTCACAAAGTGATCACCCCACTAAATCTAGTACCCCTCTTCTCTGTTACAGATTTATTACAACATCGTTGACTATTTTCCTTATGCTGCACTTTATATCTCCATGTCTATTTTGTAACTATCCATTTGTACTTAATCTCTTTGCTCTTTTTCATCGTCCCCCGCAAACTGCCTCCCATCTAGTAGCCCTCAAAATATTCTCTGTGTCTATGAGTTTGTTTCCATTTTTGTTGTCGTCGTTGATTTTGTTCTTTAGGTTCCACACATATGTGTAATCAATCGG